ATATATACAGTTTAATAAAGCTAGATCGCTCGTATATTTTAATCATTAAGTTTTGCAAAAGTAACGTGTTTGCAAACGAATTAATAAGTTCATCGTAATTTAAAGATAATGTAATATCTTTTTCAACGTTAATAATCATCAACGAATTCAATTGTTGCTGCATCATTTTAGATCTTAATCTGTTTTGACATGTTTTTGAAAGCGTTCGTTCACACTTTGTCCAACCAATCGCAAGTGTAGTTGTTGTTTCTGCTGTTTTAGTGGAAAATGTCCTTATAGGGTTACACAATCCAAACTGTTTCCAATTATCACAGATAAAACTCCTGACAACTGTAAAATAAAGCAGTTATCCCTGCTTGTACGTTATGTCTGGAATGGAAGAGTGAAGTAACGACTCTTGGGAATAAGACCAGTAAGAGAAACCACTGCAGAAAGTCTTTTCAATACTGTGTGTAATAAAGTAAAAGAACATGGAATAAACATGTCAAATTGGCGTGGACAGTGCAATAATGGGGCATGCAATGTTTCAGGAATTCATACTGGGTTACAAGCACGAATTAAAGAACTTCCACCTTCAGCTGTTTTTAATCACTGCTATTGCCATGTGTTAAACTTCGTCATTGTAGACACAATGAATCGAAATCGAATGGCAAAAGATTTCTTTGGGACATTACAAAATGTATTCATTTGTATTCAAATGAATACATATTCATTGAAGCCTGCTCTAAACGGCATGCAATATATTTAGATCAACAAACGAAGGTAAATCAAGCTTCTGGTGAAGAAGGGGGAAAGCGAGTGTATTCATTGAAGAAATTATCAGATAGCAGATGAGCCTGCTGTGCAGATAGCATCAAGGCGTTCCACCACACTATAAAAGCCGTAGCTGTACTTTAGACGCGACCTCGAGAAAGTGAAAAGAAAGCAAATATTGTTGCTGAAGCAAAAGGATTACTCCAATATAAACGTTACGATTTTGAGCTTATTCTAGCATTGGAGGTATTTTTTGTATTTCTTTTTGAAGATTTTATTCCAGGCAATGAGTGCAAAACATTCAGCTTTGAAAACTAGGCCTGTTTATTAATCAACAAAAAAAGAAAAAGTGTAAATAAACTTCATCGACGAATTGATGAAAAGTCTGAGACTGCTGTACATATATCAGTACATTGGAAACTCTCTGGTTTTATCTCCTTCTGTACTTTCTGTGAATTGCATTGCTCATTTCGTTTGTTAAAAAGAATTCTTTCAGTCTCAACTCAACCATATGATTGCTTCTATTGGGAGCCGTTTCAATGCAAAGAACGCCTCACTCGTGCAGGGTCTAGAGTTTATGCATCATTTTCGATTTGGAAATCCAGAGGCATGGAACAAAATTCTGGAGGCAGTTAAATGGTTCCAGAAAGTTCTCGATATAGATTCAATTCAAAACGAAATACTTTCTTTGAAAGTTTCCTTACTGTTAGATGGTTTGCTAAAAAAGCTGAATATGACAAATACAGAGACACTTTTGTTTATCTGTTTACTGTGTCAAATAAAGAGCCTGAATGCTATGCTGCAACCATAAAATTGATAAAAATTGATAAAAGTTGTTCCTCTGTTATTTTGCAGTGCAGAAAAAGCATTTTCCAAGCTCAACCTTATAAAATATTGGTTGAGATCAACGATGAACTATGAAAGGCTACAAAGTTTGATGCTTATGTCAGTGTAATCTGATATAATGGACGGGTTAGACATTGAAAATGTAGTTCAATAATTTGTGGATGTTTCTACAAGAAGGTTCAATTTAGTATAAAAAAACCACATGTTATACACGTTGTTAAGAACTTAAGTCGCTCTCACAAAAACACATATGCTACTGATAAAAGTATTAGCCATTGTTTGCAATACTAAATTTATTATAGTAGCTGGTGCTTGTTTATGGAGATTTCTTAGTTTGAAATACGCCTTTGTTAAAATACGTAAAATTCATAACAAAGATTTTTACACTACCTATGTTTAAAGTATGTTTTTGTGTAGCAAAAAATGAAAAATTATGCAAAGCACACATCTGAAGAAAAAATCGCCATTGAGGGATTCCTGATCCTCCCAGAATACCTCATGCCTTTGACGTTTGACAGTATTTGTTCCTTTTGGTTTCCGTCTTAGTTTCCAGCAAAATTTCCGAAAAACATAATTTTCTAACAAAAGAATAGCAACGTAATGCTAGGGGGTCCATGCCTCCCTGGCCTCCTTAGCCAAGAAGCCTCTGCCCATCGTCTATTAACCCCACTTTTTGGTGATTCGATAATTTGAAATAAACCTGATCGAATGAATATGTTACGTTCGATAATAGAACAATATTGCTTGGTGTCACACTAGTCACAATAGTGTAACTAATATCAACACCATTTTAAAAACAAACGGTTATAAGTTAATCAACATTACCAGAAATGTAGGATAAGAAAGCTATTTTTTTCAAAATGGCGTCAGTTTTTATTAGTAAAGGAGTGGTGGAAGATTTAAATTCAAAATTACACACGATAATATAGCATATTATTACAATGCCTCACACGATAAATGTGGTAAAGCTGCCAAACATTATAAATTACCTATAAATGATGAAAGGAAACGAAGTTTACCTATTTTTTCGCGCATTTAAGATTTGTTTTAACCAAACACTATGCAAAAAACAAATTCAAACACTCCAGTCTTTTATGTCATGGAATGGTTTCCCTCTTACAGTCCGGAAATCTTGATTCATAAACTCAAAACCAAAATCATAGCTAAAAATACCCCCCCCCCCAAACAAAATACTGAGAATGACCTTCGTAAAATTTTCATTAGAGTGCCATATCTAGGCAAACAGGGTGAATGTTTGGTTTTCAATCTTCTTCGTAAAATTCGCCGAAGCTTAAAAATTCCCATCAAACCTATAGTTATATATGAAACAAAAAGACATCAATTTTCTGTCCCAAAAAGACAAAATTCCGTAACTCTCTAAAGCCAATGTTATATATGAATTTAAATGTGCAGGCTGTGGTCATTAAATATGCCAAATAAACTTAAAGTACCTCCTACCTTAAACAACTAAAAGTATTCTAATTTAAAAATATAACTGTTTTTAGAAAATTTTCAATCCATGAACAAGCAACGAAAAACATTTAATTAGTAAGCTATATTAATTTTTAACTGCATAATAGAAAAAAAGAACTCTAAATTTTTTCTTAAGTTAGCATACATAACCATTACAACTTTAAAAAATTTACTTGAACAGTGGCAGAACTTCCGTCTTTGAGCCTCCTTTGTTTGTGACGTAGTTATATATTTTGATGCACTAAAATTTTTAGCAGTATCTTAAGTCTGATTGCAAATAGTAATTTAGAAATTCGTACATTTGAAAGGAATGAAGTCGAAAGTTACTTAAAATCAATATATGTTTTCTTCATTAAACTCTTCTTTATTGACAGGTTATCACTTTATCTAGTTTCTTTTGTTCTTTTGTTTTTGTTGAAACAAAAGATTTTTAAAAAATACGATGAATTCTTACAAGGTCTAAACTGTGCCCATTCATTTTTTACTTTTTTTTTTGAAAATAGTGACTAGAAAAATGTACAATTTTTTCATTGCTGCATCTTGGTATTTAGATTTTTCTCCGTTTGGTATATGTACATTGACGTTACATATGTCGGCATTATATATTGACATTATATTTGAATTGTCATCAGTGTAATTTTGAATCACTTTTCAACAGATATCAACTTTTTTATCTGTTGGCAAGTTGCTGACAGTTATGTTCCCGCTTTTAAAACATGATTCTTTACTTTAATCTCCTTGCCGCATTAAATTACTTAAGGACATAGTGCAAGTGTCTTTCAAAATAAAAGTTAATTTTGTTTAGAACATGCACTTAACAATTTCTACTTTAAAACACAGTAATGGAATGAATGTGATTAGTTTTTTTTCATGATGTGATGTATGACGACATCTGTCGGATCTCATGGGAACGAGGACTCATGTTGCATGTTGTTTTGTTCCGTTGGATTTGTTCTTGCGACATTGCTATCAATAAAACTCTATAAGCCCTATATTGAAGACGAGGAAAACGTTTTACTTCGACCAGAGGAATTTCAAACCCAGTTAGGCGACCACACGGCAGACAAAATTAAAACAGATGAAATTTAATATGACGACTTTTTGGGAAAATCGAAGAATTTAATGGCAATAATGAAGAATGGCGACATTTTGTCGAACTTAAGAATCACGTTTTCGGGCAAAGATACGGAGGACGAAACCAAACACCGATCGAGTTTTTTGGTTAGCGTAGGGCAAAAACGTATAAGTTGATTCAAAGTTTGGTAACCATCGATGTCCTCAAAGCTAAGAGCTACGAAGTGCTGGCGCTACCGTTACAGGATATAACTACCAACCGAAACCATCCAAACCATTCACAGACAATAGTGCAGCGTTTAAAATTCAACACTCGATGCCAAAACCAAAGTGAGACCTTTTCAATGTTAATGACAGAATTAAAGCGTTTAATCAGAGGATCGCGAATTTGGTTGAAATTTGGACAAAATGAGGCGAGATTGACTTGCTTGTGGGACATATTACCAAAAAATTCAATAGCGATTATTAACTGAAGCAAAACTGACCTTAAAGAAAGAACTTGACCTTGCTTTTGCTATTGAAACGTCGGAGAAGTTCGCTTCAAAGGATCATTGACGTAATGGAGGTGGTTGTAATTCTTCACGTTTCTTGTGTAACTTGGGTAAGCCATAAACGCAGAATGGTTGAGAGTCTTTTGGGAAAATATCATTGTATACTTGGTTGTCAATTGAACCCTTCCAACATAATTTTCTTAGCAGTCGTTGTAGTTTAACTTCTCGGGATAGCATAGGATTTTCATCCAGTGGTGTGAATTTTGTTGTGTTTAATAAGTATATTTTATGCTCATTATAGAAAAATCAAATGAAACCTTTGAAAAATGATTTTCTAATAAGTTTTGAAAAATCTGCTAAACATTACTCAAACAAACATGGTTGAATACTGTTCGCAAAGCTTACTTTAAAAGAAAGTACATCTACAGCCAGTTCTACATAAATCAAATTACAAATATATATAGCCTGAAAAGAACAAGTGTGTTTCCTATTTCCACTATTGTAATTAAGAAACAAAATGTATCCCATTGATTTAAGCTCTATTACCGGCTTTCTTGTGCAATAAGCTGAGTTCCTGCAGCTGTTTATTTGAGGTTTTCGCCAGCAGTAAATACCGTTGTATGGACCACCAAAACCAATGAAAGAATCGGATGAATCACAATTGTTTTCATTGTTTCCCAGTATACCAAGCCTTACACGAGCGTGTAACTTGGCTGGTGCAATGACGTTAAAACCTTCTTTATTGCAGTTTTGTTGAAGAACGCTGTCTTTGATTAATGACATCCATTGGCTTCGGCTCAAACTTGTTTTGCGGTATTTTCCATCAGCGATGACATCATACAATGATTTCGCTTTCATATTGAAGCTGATGAAGTTTGTACCGTTGAGTTTCATTCCAACACATATCTTGTTAATTTTGGTGCTCCAGTAGGTAGGAAGTTTTGTTTCCAAATCATCCATTCCTGTTATACCATTTTAATATTGTAACTACTTTTATTTGTCCAAAACGATGAGTCAAAATCGAATGTTTTCTAAACAAAATTTGTAAAAATTAAATAACGAATTAAAAATTCTGTTCAAAGTTAAACATTTCTAATATTTATTTTAAGTACAATAGTATTTCCTGTCTCCAAAAAAAAGGTATTTGTATTAGACATGAACTGATCTGAGTTATTATAAACTCTACCATACAATGACAAATCGACCTTCTGTAACTGTTTCAATGTTAACACAGGCGGAAATCACGTTGTGGCCATGGTGACACTTACTGTCTCTTCCACAATAAACTCTTCACTCATTGGAATTTCAAGTTTATGTCGAGAACGTAAAATGAAGTAAATATACAAAAATTAAAAAAAATAAACCTAAAGTGTTAACAGTTCTACTAGTCAATCACACATAACTACATACATCTTTACGTGCTTGCCGATGTGATAAATACCCTAGCCCAGTCTCTAACGGTCCTAGTTTTTAGTGATTCAATCTTCGAAAACAGACAAACTTTTCTGAATAATATGTTCAATTCATTTAAAGAGTACAAAAAATTTTCGAAATTATGAGAAACTTTTGCAACCACCTCTCTATACTTCTAGACATGAATTTCGGCTACTTTTATATAAGCATAAAAACAAGATATAATTAGCCCAAGATATTACTTAAGTTTGAACTCACTTTCCTTTTAATATGAATACATGCTGCTTTCATTCTCCAAAAAACGTTATAAAAAAAGGTTTTTGACTTGGTTGTTTCATGATGTGAAAGAAAATTGCGAGAAAATATCGAACACAAAATTTGTCAAATGAAAAATTTTCCCAAGGCATCATCTGACCTGGGAAATGTTTTAAACGCTTAAAGTTAAAGTTATTTAAATCAGTTTTTCAAAAATAAAGAATCGAGAGTTTAAGATTCTCTAAAAAGTCAGCCTTTGGCATTTTGCATTGGAAAAAGTACAGTGAGCAGTAAGCAATGAGATGTTTTGTTAGCGTATATATATAAAACACAATTACAATCCTATTGCAATTGATATTTTCAATCTTCCAATCAAGTTTCCATTAAGTCACGTGCAGAAGTCGTAAAGATATACACAAAACGTCAATATAGATTGTTGCAACTTAGTTGAAACCTAGTTTAAGTAATAACTCATGGTCTTATAAGATCATCAAATCTAAACATAAAATTTAAATGTCTTTAAAAAATGACGCTCATGAGTTTAATGTGGCTAGGTTTTTATCATACCTGATTCCCATCAATTTTCATCACTAGCGTCCAGCCTTCTCCAGAACAACCCGATATCTTTTTCTGACAGAAAACTTTGCTGTAGCCTAATGAAGTGTCCGTTTTTATTAGGTACGCACAATCTTTTGAGCTTTTGCATATATTTAAAATTAAAGAACAAAAAAAAGAAATCAATATGAATCTGGAATTTGTCGTTGAAATTTAGTTTTAAATTTCTTTACAAGAAATGCAGGCAAGTATGTTGTAGTTTTTCAAATTTTGCAAAAGTACTTTTTCATAGTGAAAAAATAAATATAAAACGTAAAAAATTATTAAAACAATGTGAGTGCTACTACCAAATATGATCAAATACGATGATATACCTGTCATCTTTTACAGCTTCTTTGCATGATGTAAAAACTAAAAATTATGCGCCACAAAGAGTTAGAAATTCATGAACTGAATGCTAGTGCAGGTCATTATTTTCAATTTAACAAATTTGAATAATATGATCACACTTTTGATGAATAAGAGAGACATCAATGGGCAATTTTGTTACCTTTTTTTATTGGCGTTACGAAACTTGCTTCATTTTGAAGTTTAATGATTTGTGTTTGCAATTTCACAATTTGTGTAAGTAGATCAATGATTTGTTTTTGTACAGTTCTATTTTTTTGTACCTTTGGCAAGTTTCGTTGCAACCTTCTCAATTGTGACACGTTTATTTGTTGTGAATGTACTATTGCTAACAAATTTAACAAATTTAAATAATATTGTCACACTTTTGATGAATAAGAGAGACATCAATGGGCAATTTGGTTACCTTTTTTCTTTGGCGTTACGAAAGCTCTGGCTTCATTTTGAAGTTTAATGATTTGTGTTTGCAATTTCACAACTTGTGTAAGTAGATCAATGACTTGTTTTTGTACAGTTCTAGTTCTTTGTACCTTTGGCAAGTTTCGTCGCAGTCTTCTTAATTGTGACACGTTTATTTGCTGTGAATGTACTATTGCTAAAAGCAAACCCGAAAATTTCTAAGCACGTCATATTTTTCAAAAATGAAAATGATTTTCTGCTATGTTATTTATCTGAAATATATTTTTTTAAATGCTTTAAGTATATTAAGAGTTTTCTCTTTCATGAGACGACGTGTCAGCTCATATGCATTTTCCTAAGTAATGGCTACATGGTTTTAATTTGCACGAAGGAATATTTCACTTTCAAATATAGAAACTAATATATCGTATTTTTAATAAATACAGCACTTGGGTATCTCTCCTTCGGGGCAGACCTTAAGCACTCCATTTATAAGCCAAAAAAACTCTTAAAGAAAGTGGTTTTTGCATGTTTGTAAAGATGTTTACAATTTTTTTGTATAATTTGTTCAAAGATTGCTGTGTAAATTTATCTTTTCAAACTTGGTCAAACCAACAATTCTTAAATTCAGTCATTGCTTAACAGGGCGGATTTAGGATTTTTCAAAAAATCATTCATTGAACTCTAGAGGTGCTGCTCCCCTAGGGCACTCCGGAGGTATGCTACTCTGAGAAATTTTGAATTCAATGCCTCTAAAGTACAATTTTTAGGGTTTTAGAGCAATGCAAAAGGTTTTTTTGTGAGCATCGTTTTTGCGTAAAAACAACATATTTTGCAAACGCTGTTTAGAAACGCTGTAAATGAACAATTGAACGTTTTGCAAATGTCAAGGCTCAATAGCATGCCTAGAAACACAAAATTTACTTTACAATGATATTATTCCAAAAAAGATATAGTATTCAAATTTTTTTACAAAGTTATTAGTACAGACCCCCCAAAGACCTCCATTAACAGGTGTAAAAAAGCTCAAATTTTAAACCGTGCTAGTTGATTCTAACCCATTGCCCATATATACCTAGAGTGCCTGGAAAATTCACCTATTGAGAAAAATTTCATGATCTTCTATTTCCAAAGATTAAAGTTAATGAGTTTTCCCAATTAAGTACAGCTTAATACAATTCGTTTTTATGAAGCATTAATTACATAATAGATAGATAACATTTAACCGTTGTCTAAACAGTTATAGATACACGAGTATGACGTCAATTGTGATAAAACTAAAAGTGGCCACGAGCCGCCCAAACGAGTGATTGGCTAACGAAATAAACAAGCAATTGGTGATCAATTTTGTTGAGGCTTTGTTTTCGAAGGCGAAGTACAGATTAATGTTTGAGACCCGGTTTTCCATTTCTATTTCCTCAAATACCTTAACTGCCTAAGCTAAGTCTTTGTGAATATCTTTATTTTCCCATTCAGGGAAGTATTGCGATAAATTTTCAAATATATACGCCATTTGTTTTTTTTATAAACATGAAATTTTCTGTGACGTCAATTCCGTGCGTATGTCCTCTTATAGACCATAGCACTCCACCAATGAAATTGGTTATTATATAAACTGAACTCTTGCCTTTTTGTAAATTTATACAAGCTGTGCTATATAGCAAATACCAGTGAACTGGCCATAAAAGACAGAATACAACCAACATGTCTTTTATGATATAATTACATGAGATGATTATTGATAAGTACATATTTCATAGAATTCATGGTTGATGATGCTCAAATTGGTTCATGTTTTATGTTTCATGGTTATCTTTAACTCTGAAATAATTTATTATAAAAGTTATATCGATCATCAGAAATAATATTTAGTGATTGGTCATAAAAAATATTTTGCTGTTTTGCCAAGTTTCAAAGCTTATCACCATACCTAGGAACACAATTCTTATTAACATGGAAACTGTTCTTCCTACATTGACAGGCCTAGAAGTTTTGACAAAGCATCTGGTTTAAGCCCCAGGTCAAAACATCTTCACATCTCTACATGAGGTGTTCAGTTAGAAAAGGGCGATATGTGACTTGGGACCCTCGATCGATTTGAAATAGCACAGGTTTAATACTATATACTATACTCCATTAGTCGATATCTGTCAAACCAGTCAGAACAAGACAAAACTTATCCGTTAAATCAGTCAAGCCTTCCTGCTTGTCACTCAGTCAATAGAGTATAATTACAGATAAGTTAAAATCCACTTATCTGTGTACCAACACATATTTATATAACTTTTCAGCAATAAAACAGAATTGTGATAATCAAATTCGAACGATACTAAATCGGAAACTTATAATGATCTCAAAAAATTATAATCATTAAATTCGATAAAAAATTTTTGAGCTATAAACGTTAGTTGCGTGATTGATTTGGCATACCATAGATCCGCCCTATTACTTAACTCAATCGCCATTTGGCAAACTCCCTGTTCAACCCATCAATTGCGAAATCCATGAATTGCTAACTTCAGTTAACCTCCAGAGATCAACCTGTTCTATTGCATGAATGAAGATTGATGCCGTTCGAAAAGTCAATTTCGACGGTTAACAATATTCGGCATTTTTAATAGTTGTTGAAAATTTATAATTGTAAGTGTATTATGATAGCACTTACCAGTAACAAATAGTAGATATGATAATGCAGTCAAAATCAAAGCCAAATTATGATTTGCCATTCTTGCAACCAAATGGTTAGATAAAAAATAAAGATGAACGCCAAACACAAGCACTTTAAATGCACAGTGCATTTTAAATTGTAAATCTAACCATTGTTTGCTACTAAACAGGAATTTTCTTGTGCTGTTACTGAAACCAGACAGTAATTTTTCTTTCTTATTATAATATTAAGTGGCTTTGCAATGCTAATTCTTATTTAGCGCAACAGGCGAAAATGGCCTGTAAGAAAGAGCTCGAATATGACATGTTAGTTAATTAAAATTGCCATCAGTATCATTTCATCTTACAATGAGAGTTTTCAACTATCATCGCAAGATGAAATGATACTGGTAAAAGAGATAACATTGTATATCTAAAATACATGAAATACGATCCAGATAAAAAAGTTCATAAAAACAATTGTCCAAGTGATTATTTGTTTACCTAATAATAAAACTTTAAAAATAGACGTTGTATAATTGGTATAAATGTAATCGCCGAAAATAACACTTTCAATACGGCCACATATCAATAATTTTATTAACTAAGACGTTTCGTCTTTAGCTTTTAACTTCCTATATATAGATACATAAAGTTTAAAATCCTATATATTAATTATACAATATTTGCAGAGTGTTAAATTACAAGGTATTGTCATGACAGTATTGCGTTTGTCATCACTATATAGTCCAATCTGGTAATGTCTTAAACAAAACGAAACGTTATTATTAGTAAAATTATGTACTAATGGCCATATTGAAAGTTTTATATTGAGCAATATTATTATTGTCACAATGTTGTATGATTATAATAATAACAGCAACTTTCTAAATATTAAAGTCAATTGTACTTTACATCTATAGTAAATAAAAAATCTTATATGTAATTAGCCTTATTTGGACAATTTTCACCTGAAATATGTGCTACACCTTTGAGTTTACAATTTATGGACATAATAATTATCTTCATTGCTCGTTATTACGAGTGCACTGCTACAAATAAACGTTATCTTCAAATAAGTTTCTGCTCATAGAAACCCAAATGTCATGGACGAACAAGTATACTAACAGTGTAAGAGCATGATTAAGATACAACATGGCCTTTTAAATTTTGAAGTGCTTATTGATATGACACCTTTTTAGCTTTGCCTACGTAAGATATATATCACATGAGAAGTAATGTATAATTGACTTCAAAGGGTATTACATGGCTATGTTTATATTAGAACCCAGCATTGGCAACCTACTACTATATTTTATGTATTCTGGCTTGAAATTGTAATAGCGTATATCGTCGGTTTGATACACAAGTACTCTGCAGTAAAAAGTTTGAAGACCCCTTAATATGATTTTTTTTGAGAATGTGGCAGATGAATGTACACACCAAACGGAATATAACATGGCTAGCTAATGCACGGATTTCTAATAATTGGTTTTGGTCTTTGTATAGTATTTAGGAAAAAAGTATAAAGTTTTTTCTAAATCATGTACAGGGGCAAATTCATTTAATCTTGAAATACAAGTAATATAATTGAATACTCGATAAAGTGCTATGAACTAAGAATTGATTGGGTTTGCTGTTGCAGGCTAACTTTATTGAATTCATGTTTTCGCATACTCATAGCATTTACTCTATCAAACGGATCATCACTCTATGAGCCCTTTTTTAAAAAATTGAAATAACCAATTGCAGTATGCATGCAATAATTTCTTTATTCTAAGTCTAGATTTAAAGCGTATAGACCTAACAAATGAACAAAAACCTTTTTTCTACAGCTTTTGTAATCACAATATATCTGTTGGGCGTTCGACGTCAGCTGAAGCGGATGTGTAACTTTGCAATGACAATAGATGCAGTCTATATATATTTGTTAAATTATTTAAGTATATGTGGCACATAGTGACAAAATCGATGAATAAATTATAAAATCGATTTTGCAACAGATTCACACGAGAGTCTAAACACATACTTACAACATATTTTAGCATATTATAGGTGGGAAATTAGTTACTTAGAAATATGGTAACAGGGAATGTATTACAGGAAGAAACTCACAGACACTGCAAGCGCATATAGGCAAATGAAAGTTTTTACATAGGAATGTTGAGTGATATAGGAATATCAAAAATTACATTCGTTGTTGAGGTTTCAGGTAAACGTCTTGAAGTTCAAATGTTCTTTTGGATCTTTAGGAATGAAAAAGAGAAATGAAGCTCTTAATAGAAAAAAAGATTTGCAAATTAGTATAAACATTAAACCATCGCTCTGTGTTTCATTGTATTTGTGTTTAATACTATCAATTTTTAACACTATGTAGTTGATGTTAAGTAATTTCTATTCGGACATTACTTTCATGAATCGATTTTCAAGTGATGAAGTGCATACGAAGATGTTGTTATTGAATATGCCTTTATACAACCGAATGTAAGGTGATTATACAAAGTTTGTGGTGCATTACTATATGTCTTAGCTAGTATATTAGCTATAAATGTTATCATTTTTGCTCATTAGCAAATGCTGTTAACAAAAAGGGACGCTAACAATTTAACAATACAAAAACCTTTATTTTTCAACTTTTGTAATCGCAAAGAATATCTTTCGAGTTCCTTATCAGCACGGTGGTGTAAATGACTATAGACGCCATACAATTACAATGATAATTGTTGCTATGTGGAGATGTATGCAATTATACTTTCAATGAAAGACTTATAAATATATACTTATAAAAAACTTTGTTCCTAATATAATGCCGCTAAACGTAATCGCTCTTTTGTGTGAGATGCTGGGTCACGATTCAAGACACGATGTACTGTATTTCATTCGAATATAATTTGACAAAGATAGGATATTTACACGCAATATCGCGACTTTTGACGACAAATGTTTGTTCGTTACAACGAGTATTAATATCGAAAAATACGTATCCAATACGTCTCTTAAAAACTTCAACTCAATGCGCTACAACGCGTTAATGGAATGCGTCGATAAGAATGCAACCATCAAAATGTGTATTGAAATAAAGTTTGCAGCCTTTATATATACTAAACATGATGCAAGATAAAATTTCAAGGTCTCCTCTTTCCCACGGTTGGAAAAAGGTCTTCATAAGTAACTAAGAACTGAGTACTAATGATTGCGAATAAAATTTGAATAAGCATCGTTGTTACTCAACTTAAATTTATATTTGTCTTGATGATGGGCCCCAACACTTACGTAAACCAGACTAGTAAACATTTTGTGTAAACATCCCCCGCCCCATTAACGTTCTGATTACAGCCTTATCAAAATGCCTGAGATTTACTTTAAAATACGTTTTTTATTAACTAAATATCTAACAAAGAAGGCCAGGTCTTTGAAAGCCCATTATTAAAAATATTTTTATGATTGACCTTTATTTAAGAAATTGTAGACATACCAATTATGACTGAAAACACTCATTATACGTCCGAAGCCCAAAAAATTGCACTAATTCCTTGTCTAAAAATGAAGAGCACGTGATGAAGAGAACTTAGTTAAGTACCACATGAAAATTAATATACCTAATTAAAATTGCTGAAAAATACATGCAGATAAATTTTCGCAACCAGTTACGTTGAGACTGTATACCATTAACCCATTAAAAGAATTTGTTATGTTTGTTAGGTAAAAAAAACGTATTACGTTTCTCAATGGTTTTTACGTTTCTTCCTGGTCATATATGGAAATAGATGCCAGAAGGAAACTGCTAGTAGATGCATAGTGTCAGTTATAAATAGCATGGCTTTTTGATGTCAGGAAATATAATTATATTGGTGCAAAAAACTCATTTAGTTTGTTTACATCTGAAGAACTTTCATGATTTAAGCTCATTAAAGTAGACTGTTAAAAATAGTAGTTTAATCCGAGA